GAAGTCGGCCTTCCAGTGGGTGTTGGACTTCCGTCTTGATGTCTCCCAGGAGGACCTTTCTCTCTATCTTCCTGTGGTGGTGTTTTCCCCAAGTTAATTCTTTCTGTCTTTAAACTCATTGTCTGAAAATAAATGTGGGAATATTTTTGCATTAGTAACCATCGTATTATTTTAAAATGTTAAGCAACACATCACACCAGCTACCACAGAATCTAGATGATTCTACGCCCGTTTCCTACAGAAGGACACACGAGGCATCCACGTTTGGTGTCTCTCATTCCCTATTTTACATTTTACACTTTACATTCCACGCTCTTGAGGAATTCAGGAACTGTATGGCTGATATTGTAGAATAAAGTCAACAGTGAAATAAAGTGTTTGAAACTCAATTCAAAAATGCATAATGAAAATAATGTTCTACCTTTTCTGCTGTTTAAAAATTCATGGTTTCGAGGCATGGATAAGCCACCCATTCAGTTGTCTATTTACTCGTACAGTGTGATTAACTCAGGTCAATGAGGGAGTGTGAGAGGAGTCCGCGTCTCACAGGAGGTTGGACCTATGCAGTCTATCCTGGGACTTTCGACGTTGTGTACTCATAGGATCTGAAAAGGCTATTTTCCTACTTGTGACAAATGCTTGGAGTAGATCTGATCTTCCTTCAGGGAATAAAGTGCTATCTGCTCAGCAGTTGCTTTGGGAAAGAATGCGAGGGGATAAATCATCTTCAGGAGTTGGGGGACTGTCTTCTCCATCCACATCAACCCAGTTTCAGTTGCTGGCTGAGGACTCACGAGTTTGCCTCCCGAGTGGGAGGGTGACACAAAGTTGGGACGGGAAGAGACACACTGGCCAGCAGAATGTTCTAAAGAGGAGCTAATTTTAACAAGGAAAAATGTGATGGAGACAAAAGAGCATCCTGCACTGTGGCCCCAAAGCAAGCAGCGCAGCTCCCAGTCAGAGGGGTCCACGCTGACAAGCAGCAGGTGCAAGACCGAAGTGCAGAAGCAGGGAGCTCAGGAGGCTGTGAGCCCCAAGACACATGGGCCACGGCGTGTGGAGAGAGCACCATGCATGTCACTTCCATGGGTGGCTTCCATGGAAACAAAGCCCTGAGTCCACTTGGCCCCAGCCAGACACTTGCTGCTGTGAGTGCTCAGAAGGAAGCCGCTGGGAGGACTTGGAATCCGCTCTACAGCGGAAGTGCTGTGGGTTAGGATCTTGTTTGAAAGGCACGCACCCGGGTCCTTGGAAGAATGCGGGACTCCAGGGAGCACGATGCTTGCCCAGGGAGGTGAGATTGTGTGGTGAGGAGCTGACGGGGTGTGTGTGTTTGCGTCCAGAACGTCTGCTGCTCTTTATAGATGATAAGCACCAAGGGTCACCTTTGGAGGAGTTAAGTTGTTAGATGATGACCTTTGTCCCAGGACCGTGGCACTCTGAGTCTTGTGGCAAATGTGTTTGGGCATCGTCTCCTCATCAAATGACAGAGATGAAATTTTTCCAAAAGCGGGTTCCCATGCCTAAAAGACAAAATGCAGGGAAAATGTTCACATTTTCGAAGGGAAAATAAATTCAAATTTTAATACAATCAAAAATAATTGGACTGTCCTAGAAAATATTAGGGTACAAGGTGTGGGGACTTGGACTGGGTTTTCCCCCTAACATGTTGATAAGAA